ACACACACACACACACACACACACACACACACACACACACACACACACGAAATTTCCTTGAAGCATTCCAAGGAACGGAATTTAAGAAAACTCAGCAGTAAGAAATCTGTGTCTGTCTGGGAATACAGTAGAGACTCACTTGCTGAATTCTTTCTTCACCCACAGGGCTACGGCAGCTTGAGGCAAAGGCTGCTCCAGAAATAGCATCCTCATCACCCAGTTCTTAGCCAAAGATGGGAGCTCCCTACAGGTGGCAGAGGTCAAATATTAATAGCAAAAGCTACTTCGTAGCTGCATCTCTGCCCTCAGCTACCTCTCAAACATCTCATGTCCACATCTTCACCGTCCTGCTGCCCAGGAGACCCCAGTAGGCTGCAAAGCCTCGACCCATGATAAGTGATGTGGTCTGCAGGCTCCGTTATGCTTCCCACCAGTCCCTCTTTCCCGAGGAAAGACACCCCTCACCTGAAGACAGCCAGACACGTGGCAGGGTGCCCATATAACCTGTCCAGTACTCCAGGGCTCAGGCCCCCTAGGAATTCCTGCAGATTCCGGCACTGTAGGTGCACTCGGCTCAGCCCACCCCTGGTAGGGGCGCTCTCCATCACCTGGGAGATGCTGCTGTCAGGTCCCCGCCAGGGTACCCCCTGACCCCACCCATCAGGCCCACAATAACCCTGTCCTTTCCGGGATTTCCTCTGCCATGTCACTCACCTCCTCTCCTTCCTCAAAAACCTCACCAACTGCCCCTCCCTTCCCGCTTTCTCATCCCAATTCTGCCCTAGACTCCAGTTTTTTCTCAATTTCCAAGTGACGGAATTACTTATTGTCCTGTATTTGCAAGATCATTCCATATTTCAAGGACTGTCTCATCTTATCTCTTGCTCCAGCCTAGTCCTCTCTCCCACCGCTCCGGGGTAGGTCAGTTTACAAGCTCCAGCTGTCCTTCCGATCTTCTCGGGCCACGTCTGCTGGACGCGGCAATGAATTACCTCTCCCCTCCATGCCTCCCAAAGCTAAACACGCCTCTGCCCCGTCCCCTCTCGCTGAGGCCTACACTGCCCAGCCTCCCAACTTCTCCATTCCCCTCCACCCCTGGCCCCTCGCCCAGCGACCCTTCTCACACGCCCTCCTGGGTTTCCTCACCACTTGGTGTCGATCCCCGTCGCGCACCCCGGATCTCAAGCAGTCCCTTAATCGGAGCCAATGGGTCGCTCTGGCTCCCGGGGACAAAGGATGGTGAAAAATACGAGAAAACGATGGGAAAGCGACGAAAGACTTCACAGACAGGAGCCCTGAGTAGAGAATTTACAAGTGAAGGGAGGGAAAGGGTCCAAAGAGCTAGGGATGAGAGGAGGCACGGCACTCGCCCGCCGCGAAGCATGCTAGGAATTGGAGTCCTCTCCGCGCCCGCCCCGGAGCAGGCTGTGGAGCGTCTGACTACAACTCCCGAAAGTCACAGCGAGGGTGCCGGGCGCAGAGAAGCTGGGTTTTCATTCCTTGAGCTTCCCGACCCCAGAAGCCTGGCTATTTGGTTCCGCCGCGCTCTGTGACTTCGGAGCTAACGGCGAGTTAAATCGGCTTGGGCAGCAGGCGGACCAGCGAGTCACAGTACCCGAGGGCTTCCAGGCAGGGGAAGAATTAAGCTGAGAGTCGGCAAAACTGGGTTCCTTGAGCTCAGCTGTTCCCCGGTAAAATTGGGGCAACGCCCACTGCAGAGCGTTTTTACGAGTTAAGGGTTAACACGGTCCATGCATGCACCTTCCTTGGCAAGTCAGTACTCAATAAATCATTTCTGCTTCGTGCCGGGGATTTAGCTCAGTGGTTCCGCTGCTTGCCTCGCAGGTACAAGGACCCAAGTTCGATCCCTGGTACCAAAAAAAAAAAAAAAAAAATCATTTCTACCTCCACCACAGTTCCAACCCCCGTGTAGTGAGAAGACTCAAATATAGTTTCTAAAAGAAACCAACTGTTCGTTCTGATTTGATTTATAAATTTCTCAAAGCCAAGGGAAACTCTCCAGCCAAGGCCAGAGCCTCACATTTCCCCCAAATTCTTGTAAGGCAAACTCTGTCATTCTCACTTCACAGTCTAGGAGACCTGAGGCTGGAGAGACTAAGATGTGGCCCTGATAAGACAGAAAGTACCCAAGCTGGGATTTGAAGCAGGATTGCCAGAACCAAAATAGTAAGGATGCACAAGACTGTTCTGCTTTGTAGCTCACCCTTCCGTGTTTTGTTGTTCCCTGTTTAGCAATCAATGTTTAAAATTCTTCAAGTTCACCACAAAACTGGCAAAGCTTCATTATGGCAACTGCTAAGTAGGTTTAAAAAGACAAATCAGAACTTGGGAAGAAATGTTTCATAAAGACAAAATGCATACAGCTTTTACAAAGTAGTAAAAGAAAAAGAAACAACAGATTGGAAAAGAAAAAACAAGGAATCAACAAAAAATACAAATGCTTTAAAGAGATGAAATGACTTTAAAACTTAATTTGAAACTAAAGAAAAATAAGTTAAAGGATCAAAAATATCAGAAATTAAACAATAAAAGATAAGCAAAATAAACAAGTTAGAGTTTGGCAGTTTTGTGTTGGCCAGGTATAGAGCATACTGTGTTGGAGGTTGATGTAGTCATACCTTTTTTTTTTGCAATAAATATAATTTTAATAGTATAGCTCAACAGGGGAAAAAAAATAAGAAGCCAAGATTTGATTTTCATCCTTATCACTATTTCTAGGGTCCCTCTAACTTGATGTAAACTTCTTACAATTTCCAAGGAAATTCCTATTCCACTCCTATTTTACCATAAATAAATTGAATGGTTTCCCTGTTTGTATGATAAAACAGGAAAGATATTTGGAATGGAAAAGGTACTCCATTTGTGATCAATGTCACACAAAACCACATTCCCATCAGAAAACGCAAACATCAACATCACAAAACTAAAAATACGTGGGAGATCAATACCATTCAGATAAATATGCAAGCTACTTCAGTCTCCCCCAAAAAGGAAGAATACTTCAAAAAACCATAAAGAAGGCCCCTGTCCATTTCTAAGTAACCCAAATAGAAAAGACAGCAAGATGCTGTGCGTGGTATTACCCCTTCCCCTGGCCCTTCCCTACTTAGAAAACTGCCTGCTCTCCAGAGAGATGAAAATGGGCCTCATCTCTTCTGGGGTGGGAACAAAGTCAGTGACACAGTTGTGCAATATCCCGTTTCTCAGGGACACTGGCTCTATACCTAATTCTGCTTCCAAAGCCTCTTCATGTAGTTCTGGGTAAGACTTGGGATCTGTTCCATTAAGATGGGCCTTATGAACTAGGAGTTTCATCTTGCTGGTTTCAGCATGGGTCCTTGGACCCCACAGGAACTCATAGCGAGCAGGATCACTGTTAGGAATCTGTGTGTACATCAGGTACTCTTTCCGTACTAAATCCTCAGTGATGAATTTCCAGGCTTCCTCAAAATGAATACGCTCAGACCGAGCTAACATGTCCCATCTTTTCACTTTTTGGATTAGGTCCTCTTCACTGATATGGTTGCCCTCTATGAAGATTACAGACAGTACAAATATAATGATGTCGATTTTCAGAGTGATTCTTTCATCATTGCCATCTAGTATCCCATTGTACGTAAGACCCAAAATGGGAACTAGCTCATCTGTGTTGCCAGAAAGATTCACTTTCCTGATTTCAATGCCAAAGCCCAGATGCAACCCAAAGTTCCCAAAACTTCAGACGAAAGTCCTTACGGTAATCATGGGGCACAACGTGCAGCATTTCTTTCATGGTGATCTGCTCCTTCTTTTGATACTTATGGAGCAGAAATGGAACCAACTTACATAACTTGGCATTTAGGAGCACATCTTGCAGGATGTGAGAGAAGCGTGTATCCTGCTAGGAGCTTGAACCCTCACAGGATTGACTCCTTTGACTGGAAGCCATGAGGACAGCAAGAACTTCTTGTTGAGGACTCAGAAGCCTTCAAATCTCAACTGCTGGAAAATAGAGTGCTGAGCAATAGCAATTCAGCTGCTCCAAGAATCCAAGCCCAGATTTTGAAAAATCACAACTGAGAATTTCCACTGCGCAGTGCAAGGCTAGCAACAGAGGGAGAAATGGGTTATTTTCAGAGTCTCAACCTGGAATGTGGCCTTCTCTCTCACCCTCAGCCAGTCATGCCTTTTTAACACACCTTTTTGGGGGATATTCTAAATACAAGCTATAGCTCTACCTCTGCAGTTTTTCAGGTACCCTCAGACAATCCAACAATATTAAATAGAAAATTCTAAAAGTAAATAAAAATGTAAATAACATTATAGTATATTGTTATAGTTGTTCCTTTTTATCACTCTGCCTAATTTTTATTTATTTATATATTTATTTTTGGTACCAGGGATTAAACTCAGGACCTTGCACTTGCAAGGCAGGCGGCAGCAGCACTGAGCACCTGGCCCTCTGCCTAATTTTTAAAATCAACTTTGTCACAAATATGTATGTATAGAAAAAACATACATACATATATACATATATGATGAGATTGTGTACCTACGAACAATCTTAAGGTGATTCTCCTTTAACCAAGCAACTCCACCTTTGAGAATGTATCATACTGGAATTCCCCCACATAGGTACAGAAATATACATGCCAAGATGTTTATTGAAGTGTTTTTGTTGTTGTTATGGTAACATCCCAAATGTATAACACTGGGGGTTCCTTAGATAAAATGTAGGTCATTGTAACAATGTAGAATACTGGGGACTCCTAAGAGAGGAAATCCCTGTAGGCATACTTGAGCTATCTATGACTGATCAATAGGGAGAGAAAAGCAAATACAAAATGGCATATACGCTTGAGGCATCGTTGTCAGAAACTTTTTGGGGGGGAGGAGGGAAGGATCTCACTACGTAGTCCAGGTTGGCCTTGAACTCACTCATGGCGATACTCCTGTCACAGCCTCCAGAGTGGTGGGATTACAGTTACAGGCGTGTGCCACCACGCCTGACTTGGTAAGAAACTTTTGTGTGTTTGTAAACCTGAAAGAGGACATATGCTTCATTTTGAGGGGAGCAGGCAAAGTGGAGCTGGGCAGATCACGTCATGGCTCCCTATACTCTAAAACAGTGAGGGCAAACCTTTTAGAGACGGAGCAACCCAAAACTCACTTAACTATGGCAAAGCGCCAACACTGCAGTTAAACCTGAATACTGACAACCCGGTGAAAGCGCCCACGGCTGCTCGTGACGTCATCATACAGCGCCGCCGCTCCTTTCTGAGCATGCGCGTGACCCCTGTGTGCAACATCTGATGCTGGGCTGCTGGCGAGACTGGGGCGACTTGGCTCGCTTAGGGACAGAGGGCTCTGCCGGCTGCGGCACAGGTGTCAAGTTCGCCACCTCTGCTCTGAAGGCTGTGCTGTGCAGTGTGGTAGCCACTAGCCACCTGCCGGCTGTTTAAATTTAAATGAACTGAAGTCTGCTTCCCAATCTCACTAGCCTTATTTCAGACGCTCAACGGAGGAAGCTAGTGGCCACCTACTGAGTGGGAAAGGTATACAGAGCATTTCCATCGTTGCAGAGCTGTCTTGGGGAGGCCCATTCTGCGGGCCACGGTTGATGACAGAAGGCTGTCTGATTCGAGAACTATCCAGGCCACGGAGCTGAACGTGTGGGAAGAGCACCCCGGCCTGCGCTGCTGCCGAGTCCAGTTCCTGAGTCGTACTTTCACGCATTCGCTGGGAGACGTTCCGTGCCCGACAACATAGGTGGTGGTAATGGCAAGAGGAGAAGAAAGAAAGGGAGTGGGGCAGAAGGATGGGGCAGGAAGTAGATTTGACCAAAACCCCAAGAAACCCACTCACACCTGTGAAAAACTCAACCTTTATTATTACCTGCCTATCGCAGGGGATTAAAATTGCCTCGAGCTAGGTCCATATATTAGTGTAAAAATCTGTCTCTCCCCCCAAAAAATGTACAAACCCCAAGTGATTATAGAAAAACCAATGTGGCAGCTACGATAGAGATGTCCAACCCCAGGGCCACAGGCCATTGCTCCCTCTGTCCTTCTAATCCCAATATTTACTCCACAGAAACATACAGGCTTAGGGAAGTCCTAGCTACAGCACGGCAGGTGGGAAGTGGGGATGCGGGAGGATCGGAGGATAGGGCTGGGATCACCCCAGGTCCAGTGTGTCCAGTTCCAGGGATAAGCACCAGGGAGCAGCTCTGTCCCTTCGTGTCCTCCTCAACCCCGTCTCCAGCCAGCGGGGTCCAGTGTATGACAGGAAGAGGGAGGCTTGGGCAGAGCCACCTCCCCAAGAGCCAGTGTCATCCAGTAAGGCCCAGGAGCTCCCGTGGGCCACGTCCAGTGTCTGCCCTGCATGTGCCCCCTTCCCCAAGGATGGCTGGTGGAAGTCAGAGGATCCCATCCACAGGGCCAGCTGGGTGGGCAGTGGGTCTCAGGGAAGAGATGTGAGCTTGTGTCCAGGGTGGGCAGGCCCACCCCCACGGTCTCACTGCCTCTCAGGTGCCGGGCCGTCGGGGGGCAGGGAGGCGCAGGTCCTCTTGTTAGTGTCACTGGCTTCCCCCAGGTTGCTCCTGAGAGGGCAGCTGGGCGTCGTCACACTGTGTTGAGTGCATCCTCTGCCAAGAACCGGTGCAGCTGGGCAAAGGGTGGTCGTTGCTCGGGCTCCCGGCTCCAGCACTGCAGCATCAATTCATACAGGCCCTGGGGGCAGGCGGGCGGCCGCGACAGGTAAACCTGCACAGCAGCATGGTGACAGCAGAGAACAGACTCCTTCAGTCTCTGGGACGACGCACCCCACCCTCCCAGCCTGGCAGTGGGTCCAGCTCCCCTCCCTCTGCTCTGACCTGCCGGCCCTGGTCCCGGAAGAACTCCCCGGCGTTCTCGATGACTTGCTCATCTGTGAGCTGCCCAAAGGGCTGGGCCCTGCAGAGCATCAGCACCTCCCACAGAGTCACCCCAAATGCCCACACGTCGCTCGCCGTCGTGAACTTGCCCTGGCACGTGGAGAGGGCAACAAAGGCAGAGAAGGACCTCAGGCAGTGAAGCTGTGGCAAAGCCCAAGTTCCCCGGCCTGATCCTCCCCACCCCTCTCCCTCTGAGCAGGCCTTTCCTGGGCCCTGCCTTCTCTCCCTGTGCTCTTCCGGTGCCCCTGGTCCTTCCTTGCCTGCCCTCCTCTTTCCGGTCCTGGCCCTCTGTCTTCCCCTAAGCCCCTTCCACCTGCAGCTCCCTGCTTCCTCTAGCCCTCTGCCTCCCTGACTCCACCCCATCACACCCCACGCCCTCTCTCTGGGCCCGAGCCACAGGGCTCCTCAGTGACAGCTGGGAGACTGCTGCTGTCCAGTCACTGCCGGCCTCAAGGGCTCTCACCATAAGGATGCACTCCCAGGCCATCCACCGGATGGGAAGCACCGCCCGGCCCTGCACACGGTAGTAATCCCCAGCATAGAGGTTCCGGCTCATGCCAAAGTCAGCGATTTTGATGGTGAAATTCTCCCCGACCAAGCAGTTCCGTGTGGCCAGATCCCGGTGCACAAAGTTGAGTGTGGCAAGGTAGCGCATGCCTGAGGCAATCTGGGCGGCCACGTGCAGGAGAATCGGGTAGCTGAGGAGGGAGCCACCGCAGGGTCACGGGGGTCCCTGGGCTCCCCCATGTCACACCATGCCTACCAGGAGAGCGGGGAGCCCCTGCACCCACCCTGGTCGGCCACTCCTGTCCAGTGTGGAAAGGAGGGCAGTCCCCACTCAGCCCCTCTGGCCGGCCAGCTCCTGTTTTGTTGGATGCACGGCTGGGCTCAGGGATTCCAGGTGGGCTCTGCCCCTTCTCTGCCCCTGGTTATCGTGGCCACCCTCCAGTCCCTTCTTGGGGCCTCTCCCTCTTCTGCCCTCTGCTTCTCCCCTCCCTCCTGGGATGCACTGGGCCTTCGGGTACCTGATCGTGGGCCCCTGCACAGCCTCCTGGTCCCCAGGGGCCACCTCAGCCACCTTGTCCTCCAGCTGATGGGCACTGAGGAACTGGTTCAGGTCACCGTTCTCCATGTAATCAGTGATCATGCAGAGGGGGTCGTCCTGCACACACACGCCCAGGAGCCGGATGATGTTTGGATCCTTGAGTCGAGACATGATCTTCACCTCCTTCAGGAAGTCGTTCCTGGAGCAGCAGGGAGAGGCAGGGGCGAGGGCTGCACCTTGCGCTGTGCTCAGGCGCACCGGACACCCCGCCCTCCCTGCTTCCAGAAGCCATTTCCAGCCCTCACCTGGCGTTCTTGGTGGCATCAGGCCGTAGGATCTTGACAGCTACCAGCAAGGGTTGTCCCTTGCGCACGCTGACGGGGAAGTCAAGACTGGCCAGATCTTGAGGGTTCTCTACCTCACACAGGTGCACCTGGAGAAGGGCCATTGGCGAGAAGGTCTCAGGGCTGGTGGAGTGACGTGGCACAGGCAAGGCTTCGGGCCGGGCACCGAGGCAGACGCTGGGTGGCTGGGCGGGTGTCCTCCTTACCTCCCCAAACTGGCCCTCGCCAAGCTTCTCCTTGAAGCGGAGCCGCGACCGAGGGAAGTCCACTCTGGGGGGCCCATCCCCAGCTGCCCCTTGGGGCAGTGCAGGCACAGCATAGGTGTTGCCCCCGGTGACGCCCTGCAGGGTGACAATGTCAGCCTCGGCATAGTGCGGGACGCTGTTGGGGGGAGGGGCCAGGAGCGGGGCACCAGGCTTCTCAGGCTCCATGTAGTCCCCACTGCAGGCTAGAAGGCGAGGGAGAGAAGACAGACAGGCGACAGGCATCAGGCACAGCCCGGGGCTGCGCTGCATACCCCACCTCTCAGCCGCAGGGACCAGGTCTGTGCCTCTCCCCGCGTTTCCCCGACACCAAACACCAAAGCTGACCGGAGAAGCACCGCCAGAGAGAAGAGTGTCTATCCTGGGGAGAGCGGCACGTCGTTGGGAATGAGGGAGCAAAAGCAGCTGTGAAGTCGTGCCCTCTCAGCCCTCCCAGCGCAGCCCCCAGACCCCCAGAGGCATCGCGGCTGGAGGGGGCAGGAAGAGGGTGGCCCAGCCACGGGCCGCGGCCACTCCCCAAGCCTTAGCCCGCTCCCCTGTTCCCTTCTCAGTTCCCCCAGGGCCTTCAGCCTGGCCCCTCCCTGCCCTGTCACCAACCCCAGCCCTGCACACCAAGCTCAGAGACAGGAGAGACAGAGCACACGGGGAAGGGGGCAACAACTCCTCATGGGCCCCACAAGTTAACCACAGAAGACAGGAGAGGAGGGAGGCAGAGCTGTCCCCTCTTGGCCCCGGGGAAGGGGGCACAGTGAGAAGGTGACACAGAGGGGGAGGAGCAGACAGGAGGGCGGGCGGGGGCCTTCACCTCTGGGACTGTGGAGAGGACACAGGGGAAGAGGGCGAGTGCCCGGGGTGAGGCCCTCCTCCTCGGAGCGCTAGAGAGAGGGGAGAACAGGCGGCGTTACCAGGGAGCGGCCCCTCTGGCTCTGGAGAGCTGCAGAGATGGGTGGGAGAGGAGCAGGAGCAGAGCTGAGGCCACAGCTTTCTACTGGGGTAGGCTCAAGGGGAGGCTGCAGAAGGAGCAAGAAGCTGCAGAGTGAGCTAAGGGCACTGAGCGTCCTGCCCCAGCTCAGGAGAGCAGAAGAGGCTGCAGCGGGGGAGGAGGAGTGCACGATGTGAGGGCTTCTCCCTGCCCCAGCAGTGTGGGGGCCGGAGGAGCGGGCAGAGGGGCTTACCCTGGGTGTTGGTGGGTTTGGCCCAGGCGGGTGTGGGGGGGCCCGGGCCTCGAGGGGGACGGGCGTAAGTGGCCAGAAGGAGGCGGTAGGCTGGATTGGAGAGCAGCAACGCTGTCGGGAGAAGGAGGGGGGGAGACACGGGGAAGGGATGAGACTCAAGGCTAGACAGACAGGGAGACCCAGAATAGGGCAGGCCAGGGCCAATGGGAATCGTGTGCTGAGACAGAGATGGGCTGGAAGAAGGAGCACGGGAAGGTTGGATGGATGGACCAATGGATGATGGATGGATGGATGATGGATGGATGAATGATGGATGAACAGATGGATGATGGATGGATAGTTGGATGGATGGATACATGGTGGATGGATGGATGGATGGATGGATGATGGATGGATAGATGATGGATGGATGGTTGGATGGATGGATAAATAGATGGATGGATGATGAATGGTTGTATAGATGGATTGATGGTTGGATGGATGGATGATGGATGGGTGGATAGATGATGGATGGATGGATGGTGGATAGATGGATGATGGATGGATAAATGATGGATGGATGGATGATGGGTGGATGATGGATAGATGGTGGATGGATGGATGATGGATGATGGATGGATGGATGGATGGATGGTTGGATAGTTGGATGCCTAGTTGGATGGATGGATGATGGATGATGGATGGATGGATAGTTGGATAGATGGTTGGATGGATGATGGATAGATGATAGATGGATGATGGATGGATGGATAGTTGGATTGATGGATGGGTGGATGATGGATGGATGTTGGATGGATGGTTGGATGGATGATGGATGGATGGATGGATGCATGAGGGACAAATGGATGTGTGAATAGAGATGGATGGTTGGGTGCACAAAAAGATGGACGGAAGGAACAAACATGGTGAGTCAGTCCAAGGAGACACAGTAAGAAAGGACAACTGAGAAGGTGGAGAAATGTACCATGACATGAGAGACAGGATGAGACCCCTGGGGATTGTTGGTGACAGATGGGAAATCCTTGAGGACAATGGGATGGTAGAGACATGAAGTGATAGAGGGTGACTAGGGACACGGAAATAAGGAAATGAGTTGAAACTGGTGAAGACAGGAAAAGAAGAGAATAGGAAAGGAAAGGGAGAGGGATTTGATGAGGGAACTGGCCGAGAGGATGGCAGTGGGGCTGGAGCCAGCCGGGCTTACCAGAGCCATTGGGGATGCAGGGCGCAGAGTGGGGCGGGTTTCCCCGCGGCCGGGGCTCTTGGTAAGGGGGTGGCTCCCGGGGGGCTGGGCGGTTGTTGATGAGGATGGTGTCCCCAGGGACAGAGAGGTGAACCGTCAGCTCCTCCTCCAGCACCCGGCGCTCAGCCTGTGGGGAAGGGGCAGTGTTAGGCATGGCCCTAGCCACCAGGGCTTCCCATGCTCCACAAGTCTCCTGGCCATCCCTGTCATGCTCACAGCAGTCCTGCAGCTGTGGATCCTGTGTGCTCCACTTCCTCGTTAAAGGAACTGGACCTCAAGGGCATGCACGTAAGGCCCTGACGTCCCGTGACGGAATCCCAGCCCAAATCTGACCACCCGTATTTATCAGCCTTAATTTGGTCACCACAGGGAAGACATGGGCTCGGGGGCCACAAACCTTCCATTTGTCCCCCTCGGTCCCGTCTCTGTCTTTCCCCACCTGCTTCTGCCCCAGCAGGCTGACCAACTTGAGCAGCGGCCACAGGTGGGTTAGTGGGGCCAGAGAAGAGCCCGACAGTGTGGGGGGCAGGCAGGGCACTTACTAGGTGTGGTCAGAAAACGTAGTGTTTACATTTTTTAAAATTTACTGCAGTAAAAGACACTGCCATTAGTCCCCCTCAGAATCCTCTCCCTCACTTCAAACACACTCATCCATCGTCCTTGTCACTTTCTAGGCAGTGCTGAAGTCCTCTTTCTGAGTGTGTTCAGTTGTACTGTCCTGGCTTCCTGGATGTACTGAAACAACTCAAAACGTTTGTCTTTCATGGCCATTTTGACTTTGAGAAAGAGCCACAAGTTCCAGGTCTAGTGAATCAGGTGGATGAGGACCTTTCACACTGTTTTTGTTTGTTTGTTTTTGTACCGAGGATCGAATACTTGCTCTTGCGGGTCAGGCTCGGCTCGGGGGAATCACGGAGCTAAATCCCCAGAACCCCTCCGTACTGTTTTAATGAGCCTGCCTTTCCACTAGATGGCGCTCGCAGCACCATGAAATGCTTTATTAATCCAACCTCGGAAAGATAGGAAAGAGGACTTCCAGAGCTGCTTCAGAAAGTAGCAAGAAAAGTGGGTGTGTTTGAAGCAAAGGGGACTATTTTGAGGGGATTAATGGTAATGTGTCTTTACGGTAATACATTTTTAAACTTTTTCAATCATCCCTTGTATTCTCCCCAGTTCAGTGCCCCTCTCGGGGACCCTGTCCAGACTCAGGTCTCCCAAGCCTGGTGACGGCAGTGTCCCCTCACCCGTTAGGACTGGGATGGGAACTGGCCCGCCACTGTGAGTACTTCGAGTGTGATTATGCTTTCAGAGAGCCTGCCTTACGCAGGGGTTTGGACGCACGCTGGCCCTCTCGCCTGGCCACGTCCCACCAGCCTGGCCCACCTTGCTGAGGAGCCTGCGCCAGTGCAGCCGCCAGAGCATGAGCGCGATGATGAGCAGCAGCAGCAAGATGATGGCCACCAGGCAGCCGATGAGGATGGCGGTCGGGCTGCCCTCTGCCTTGGCCACAGGTTGCTGGCCGCGGGGCTCCAGCTCTAGCAGAGACAGAAGGGTCAGCACCCGGGAAAGCTCCGCACCCACTGCAGGGGGAGCCCTGGGAGGAACAGGATGCGCCCCGAGGCTGCTCACCCAAGCTGCTGACGTTGGTGGGAGGAGGGCCGGGCGGCCACCAGGGTGCTGGGGGGAAGGTGCCCCCTGGAGCTGGAGAGGAGTCGTTCCCCACATCTGGGGAGGAAGAGAAGCAAGGAGGAGTTGGGCGAGAAGCAGGGGAGCCAGGGAAACCGAGCAAGGGCAGGGGCCACAACGTGAGCCTCTGAGCAACCAGGCACGACCAGGGCCAGAGCGCGGGAACCCCGCTTGGGAACATCAGCCCGTTAGCACCAGTGCTGTGCCGCAGGGAATCGGAGTGCTCCCCCAGAAGGATGTGGGGCATGAGCGGCTTAAAGAAGAGGCTGTCTCTCAACTAGTCAGAACATCTCAGACTTGACCCCTCCTGTCGTCCTGGCTCAGTGAGGGGCCCGGAGAGAAAAGGCAGACCCAGGGAGCGGGAGAGAATGGGCTGCCCGTGGGGGAGGGCAGATAGTAGCCCGGGAGGGAGTGTGCTAGGTCGTCGGCAGTCTCGGGCCAGGGGCTGGGCACTCCCAGGGCTCACCGGAGATGAAGGAGATCTCGCTGAAGAGTAGCCAGGGCCCCGCAAAGAGGAAGCGGCACTGCAGAAATCGACCCAGGCGGCCGCCCAGGGGCACAGAGACAGCCCGGGCTCTGGGGTCGCCCAGGCTTCCCCCCAGAGCATGGCGCACGGGCTCCCCCTCCCAGGCCATGGCAGGCCCCCGCTTGAATCGACATTCCACCCCGCCGGGCAGGCGGGCGCCCAGCGTGTGCATGTTGTTACAGTGGACCTGGGGGACGGAGCAGGGACGCAGAGTCAAGGCCAGGAGAGCCGGGGCCAGCCCAGTGTCACCCGCCCCGCTTCAGAGCCCAAGCGCCGGGCTGGCCCACCTGCATGGCCTGGAAGGCCCTCAGCCGGTCAAATTCGAACTCCATCTCCACGTATCCGCTGGGGAAGCTGTGGTTGTCCCATCCCACGTAGTCATACCCTGGCCAGACCCGCAGCTCCTGGCTCTGCCTAAAGTCGTCCAGCCCTACCACGCCGTCCGCCAGCTGGCCGAGACCACCGTACTGAAGCCTGAGAGGCAGGGACCACAGGAGGCCGGTCGGAGAGGAGAAGGGAGCAACTTCCACTGGCCCTGCACACTCCCCCGCGGCCCCTGACCACCTGTCCCCTCCCACCCTGACCCCATGAAGCTCTCTCTCCTCTCCCCTGCACCACCCCAAGGACATCCCAGGTCCTTGGCAGGTCGCACGCTGCAGAAAGGCAGCGCCTTTCAACCTGCGATGTGTGCGTGTGCTGCAGCCCCGGCAGACGCGCTTTCCCACTCCCCCTAAGCGCCCCGCGGGCCAGCGCTCACCCTGCTATCCCTTGAGGCCCCCCTGGTGTGCACCCGCTGCACAGCCTGGCCTCCCTCCCATCCCCGGCTCCACACCCTGCAGGGCCCATGCATCTCACCCGCTGACCGTGAATCCATCGTAGGTGGAGTCGTTGAGAGGCACTGCCTCGGATAAGTACATGGTCTGCCCCAGGGGGGCTGTGTAGGACAGGAGCCCGTCTGGAGCAGGGCGGGAGGAGGGAGGTTACCGACCTGAGCCCCTGCCCCACCCCTGCGCCAGGCCTGGGCAGACCCCGACCTCCCAGAGGCAGGAGCAAGGATCCCAGGTGCCCCACGTTCAGTCCCCAGCCCAGAAGCAGATTCTCGGGGCGCGGCCAACTCACCCCTCCAGAGGCAGCCATAGAGCTCAACCCGCAGACACACACTCATGATGCGGTCGGCTCGGGGATAGAAGCGAACCAGTCGGGCTACCATGGGGGGCCCAAGGTCCTTCAACACCACACCCCCGGGGTCCTCGTTACCTGAGATCACCTGTGGGTCAGGAAACGGGGTGCATGTGGGGGGGACTGCGGCTGGATCCAGCCTCCCGGCAGCAGCTGCTCCCCACCCAGGGGCTGAGAACGGTGCTCGGGTGCAGCCCGCACTGGGACACGGGGACACGGGGACACGGGGACACGGGGACACGGGGTCTGCCGCAGACCTTGGGCTCTTCCCGAAGCCCTGACAGGCCACACTGCACGCCAAGTCCCCCACTCCTCGCCTGTCTCCAGGTATTCACGCCACTGCACCCGGATCCTTCATGTCCTGTAGAGCCCTGCACCCCACTTCAGCTCCCTGCTTGCTTCACCGCATTCCTTCTGTTCACTCAGCAGCTTTCAGCCCAGTGCCCGCTCTGTGCCAGGCACGTTCTCAGCGTGGGCACGAACCCCTCCCCTCCCAGGACGGAGACTCCAGGGAAAGCAGCTGTGAGGAGCAGGGGGTAGCTGTGGGGACAGAGCCCTGCAGGGGCCCAAAGGCACCTAGGCGGGGAGATCCTGCAGAGTCTGGGGGAGGAGCCTGCCAGGCGCAGAGCGGCCAGCGCAGACACAGCAAGCACAAACGTCCCGACCCTGGGGAGCGAGCCCCGGCTTGTTCCAGGAAAGCAGTGTGGCCAAGATGGAGCAAGAGGCAGGAGGCGCAGCCAAGCGCTCTGCCCACTGCCGAGAAGCTGGGGAGGCCGGAGGGGGCTGTGTCGGGTCTGATTTACACTTTACGGCCCAGTGTGTGTAGGGCAGAGGTGGAGCTTTGACTGCAGGCAGAAAAACACAGGAGAAACCAGCACAGCGGGGCGGGGAGCAAGCTCCGCCTGCTCTTCTGTCCGTGGTGGGAATGGGATGCCCTGAGCACCGAGGCGAGGCAGTGAGGCCCAGGAGGGGCCGAGGAGTGTGCTTGGAGGAGGGAAGGGCCAGCCTCACCTCCTGACCCCAGCGGTCCTTCCAGTCCATCCAGCGGTGGCCGTCCCGGGAGTAGCGCAGCCGGTAGCTGCGGGAGAACTCCTTGCCCAGGCCGCCAGCGTGGCGTCCCTGAGTGCCCACTAGGGCCACCAGGTGCAGCTGCCGGAGATCCACCTGCAGGTACTCCTCCTCCTTGGGGAACACAGGCCCCGCGGGACACCAGGCCCCATCCCCGTCACTGCTCTCCAGCCTAGGGGGAGCACAGGTTAGTCTGCCTGGCTGGGTCTGCCCTGCCACTGGCACTGGACTGCAGGTGGGCATGCACCCTGTCGACTGCCTCTCAGCTCAGGACAGGCAGAGGCCCGAGGCCCAGGGGCAGCCGAGGTGTGCAGGTACCTGCTGTGCCGGGCCGCAGTGGAGTCCGACCAGGAGCTGGAGACGGAGATGTCGCTGTCCGGAATGGTCCGGTCCTGCATGCCCAGCGCATAGCGGCACTTGGCTGGATGGACACAGGCGTGCGACAGTCAAGGCCCCCAGCCCTCTGCCCTCCAAGCCCTCCCTTAGGAACCCAAGATTCAGTCCTCACCCGGGTCAAAATGTCCCTTCATGTCGGCGTCTCCATCTGCCAGCAAGAGCAGCAACAGCGACAGTAGAGATCCGAGGGCCCCTGGCCCCATAGCTCCTGATGCCTCGGGCCTAAGGGGGTGGGGGCAGCATCTGCATCTCTGCAGGGGACGAGATGGGCAGGAAGGTGTGAGCAGGGGACGGGTAGACAGGACACTGCTTTGGGGATGCGAGCAGTAAAATCACAAGAATGGTCACTGCTCAGCAGCGTGGCTCTATGTTTAGTACCCGCCCCTGGGATAAGCCCTTCAGTGGAATCCATAATTTTATCTTCGCAGCCACGCTATAAGGTAGACTCTGTCACTGCCCATATTTAACCCTTTAGAGAGTTGAGTGGAGATCATCAGTGCCTCAACCCCCTTCCCCCAACCATTAAGAGGCAAAATACCCACGGACAGCAGCTTCGAACAAATAACACAGCTGCAAAAAAGTGGGCAATAAGTGTAACAGAAAAGTAAGGAAGACTTTCAAATTGACAAGGAAAAAAAATATAAACAACCCAGTAGAGAAATGGCCAAAGAATCTGAATTGTCATGTCATAGAAGAGCAAAGCCCAACCACCAACAAACATTTGTGCTTGTTATTTGTTTTTATTTATGTTTTGCAATGCAGTGCTGGGGGCTGATCTCAGGGCCTCGTCCTGACTGAGCTCTGTCCCAGCTCTTCTTTATTCTTTTATCTTGAGATAGGATCTTGCTCAGTCGCTAAGTTGCCCAGGCTGAGCTTGAATGTGCAGTCCTCCCACCTCAGACTCCTACAGTGCTCGGATTACAGGGTGCGCCACCACACCTGGTTTACATATTTGTTTTTAAATAGTGAAATTCACTAGAGTCAGGAAAATACCAATCAGATTAATGAAAAGAATTTTTCTTTGGTATCAGGGATTGAACTCAGAACCTTGCGCTCGTGAGGCAGGCGGCGGCACCACTGAGCTACATCTCTGGCCCAGGAAAAGAATTTTTGACCCAAGTCTTACTGTGTTGCCCAGGCAGGCCCTGGACACTTTGGGCTCCACAGATCACCCCTGAGCATTCCGAGCGGCTGAGATTATGGCAGGCCATGTCCCCTGTGGTGACAGATGAGTGACAAAAAGGAGCCATTGCAGTCAATGGCAGGCATGGAATATCATCATCTATGTGGAAAGCAATCCGGCAGTATCTGATACAATTAAAGACCCCATCTTCTGAACCCCAGGCCCCCAGGGTTCTGAGCAAAGGGAGCAGTGTAGCCCTAGGAGGAAGAGCAGATGCACAAGGACGTCCACTGCGGCCTTCTCAGTGAGCATCCCAGCCGGCAAGCCACAGAAAATTGCTTTCAGGGTCATGAGCTTGCATGGAGCTATGCAAAGAAACAAAGTAGCCATACAGGTCTGACTGGGGCGATTTCTCTGTGCCACTATAGAACGTGAAAAGCATACACAGATGTATGAAAAAGCACACCTCCTGAAAAGGAAGAATGAGCCCTTGGGCTTGTGCACGTCTGTGCACACATATAGACAGGGTGTGCAACAGAACAGGAGCCAGCAATGAATGGCGTGACGGGAGAAGCAAACAAAAAGGGAAAGACAATCTGGCTGTTTTCCTAAAACTAGTAAATATAGTAGCACATATTCATGTAGGGGTATAGAAGAGAATATAAACATTACTTTTATTTTTATTTAATACAGGTAGGTGTCCTAGAAAAGGCTGGGCACTCCTTGTTGAGTACGCCATGAATTAAACCTCAGCTAAGCCTGCACCAGCAGACCCTGGGCCCCTCCCACCGTCGAGCCCAGAATCTAAGAGAACTGCAGGACCCCAGCGCCTTCCAATCCCAAAGCCCCTGAAGTCCCCTAGGCCCACTGCATCCCTGGACCGACAACCTCGGATCTTTCGGGAACTTAGGGGAAATGCGGAGCCTCAGGCCCACCTGGATCTGCCAAGTCAAATCTGCATCGTAACCTGGGCCACACACCCAACCCAAAACCATTCCAACCGCGCTCTCCTTGCAAGGCACACATCTATTGTCCCTGCCTGGCTACAGGGAAAGCTGTCTCCTGTCCCGTGCCGGAGCTGGTACTGAACTCTCCAGCCCCCGTGATCCTGAGGGGCCCCGACTGCACCTCTCACGCCTCTACCCACCCCTGCCACCGGGTCCCCCCAAATCCCTGCTCTGTCTGTGGCGTCCCACCTGCCCCAGCGTCCACTTTCTACACCAGCTGCCTCAGAAGGAAGAGGGCAGGGCAGGGGAAAGGCTGAGTCGCCTTGGAGATGAGGGCGGGCCTGCAACTGGGAAGCCAGGTCACCCCAGGAGGTAGGAGGAGTGGGGGACACCTCCCCATCCCTTTGTCCTCCTCCAGCTGCTCCCACAATCCTCTAGGGCAGGAATGTAAGAGGCAGCTGAGACCCCCTAGCAAGGAGGCACCAGCTGAGGGGCCTGAGTGAGTTGTGAGGCCCTAGGGTATCAAAGGTGAGGCGGGAACCAGGAGGCACTGTGGCCCCTCCCAGAGCCCGCTGCCCTGGGCCAGGGACAGGCTGCCGGGTCCCAGGAGCAGTGGGGGATTCCTGGGCGCCTCTCCACCCCCACCTCCCTGGGAACAGCAGGCCCTTGTTCCCTGAGTAACCTTCATGTCTCTCCCAGATGAGTCATTGGAGCCAGACGGAGCTGAGAGGAGCCCAGGGCAGAGATACAAAGCCAGGCAGAGGACGGGGGTGGGGGACAGAGACACAAAGCAAGAGTTAAACAGAGCAGGCTCAGAAACAGGCGCAGGGCCCAGGGAGAAAGAGCTGCCCAGCGACCCGTGGGGACTCAGCCCCCGGCGCCGGTCACCCCTCCGCTGGGTCGGACCCACGCCGCAGCGGGTCCGAAGACGCACTTGCCCTTCTGGGCCCCTTCAGCCAGAAGCCAGCGGGGGGGGGGAGCGGCCTCAGCGCTGGCCCCGTCTCCAGGCCGCTCCCCGCCCAGGCCCCGCAGCGGAGCACACGCGCCGCTCGGACCGCACACCGCCCGGGCCGGCTGGAAACTCGGGCGGGGCGCGGCGCCCCATCTCGGGCACCCGCACGGCCTCCCGGGGTCTCGCCCATTCCAAGGCGGCCGCGGCTCGCACTTGCGAGCGCTGCCGGGAGGCCGGGCTGCCGCGGCCAAGTGCGGGCCGCAGCAGGCCCAGCCCCCACGCCCTGCCCAGGCTACCAGGCCCCGGACAGAGCCGGGGAGGCCAGGCCGCCCCGGGCCGCCGAGCGCGCAGGGCTGCGGCGCACCTGTCCCGGCCCGGCCGCTCCCGACCCCGCGCCCCGGCCCGGCCGGCAGCGGGGCCTCCTCGGCGACTTCAGCTCGGGTGTCGAGAGGCGGCTCGGCAGCTGTCGGGGGCCTGTTTCGGGGACGCGGCCGGGCCGGCGCCGCCTCCGCCTCCCGCCCCGCCGGGCAGCAGGGAGGGGCCCGCGGGTCGGCACCGCTGCCCGCTCCCCGCCTCCCGGCCCGGGTCGATCGCGGGAAGAGCAGAGCGGCAGCGCCGTGGGTCGGGCGCGGCCCCAGACCCTGGAACCCGAGACCCTAAGGAGCAGCCCGGCGGGGTCGGGCGCCGCCTCCGCCCACACCCAGCCGCGGGTCCTCGGGCCCTCGCGGCGCATCCAGCCCCGGCCCCAACACGGAGCCCCCGCCCCGGCCCGACCCGCGCCTACCACTCCGCCGGCCGCTGCGCGTCTGGACCCGAGCGGCGGCGGGGAGGAGCCGGCGGGGCGGGACACCCTCGGAGCTCACCTGGCGCCGCGCCCTCCTCCCGCCCTCCGGGGGAAATGCCCAGGCGCTGGTGCCCACCGCGCCCCTGCCCGGGCTGGGGCCCCCGGGGTCAAGTGACAGCCGAAGGGGGCTGGAGCCGGCTGGAATGTGGGGCCCGGAGCCGAGAGTCTTAGGGGCCAGAGAGGGAAACCCCAGCCAACCGGGCCAAGAGCGGCGCCAGAGACCACGGGAGCCTGCCGGGCCATCCACGGCTCACACCCGCGGCCACCGGTGCCCTGCGACCTCCCCACCCAACCCCGCCACTGCCCAGGTGGGCCCAGCCCGGCCGGCCTGCCCTTCACACCCTGGCCTGCTGCCCAGGAAGGAGAACAGGAAGCAGCTGAGAAAATGGGAGGACGGGAGCAAGGAGCCACACGCACGCGCGCGCACACGCACACACACGCACGCCGAGACAGCCCCCTCCCCCGCGCGGCAGCTGCCTCTGGGGGGCAGCCTGGGTCAGCAGCTGGGGAAAGTGCGGAGCCGCTGGTGGGGGACAGGCAGGGGGGTGGAGGAGGCCCCAGGAGGAGTCAAACCTTAGGGCCCCCGAGTCAGAGGGGAAACCGAGGCCTGGAGTGTGCGAGAGCTCATGGCTCTGAGAGGAAGGTCACAGCTCTGGGTGGCCTGGGGAGGGAGGAGGAAGAGGCAGGGGACCAGAGGGACACGGGGTCAGATGGGTCGACGACGGTGAGGGAGCTCTGAGGCTGGGGACGCTGGGGGCCGGGGGGGGGGGAAGGAGCGCACAGCAGAGGGTGGGCAGCGGGGGCCTCAGGAGGAGCCCGGACAGGAAGGAAGGGGCCCGAGGCCGGGAACCTGATGGACACAGAGGCAAGGAGTGTGAAGCGGAAGGTGTCAAGGACAAAGGAGAGAAGGGGTGGGAGTAGATGGGCGCACAGAGCTGGGACTGAGATGCGCAGGAGTGGGCAGCGTATTGCGGGAGGGGGCGAGCGGCCGGGACCCGACCTCGTCCTGCTGCAGGGCGCGCCGCTGCCTCCCCGGGCAGCCCTGCCCCCCACCCCGGCTGGTTGCTGCCCACGGCCCCCAGGTCCCTCCCACAGGGCGGCGCAGCTCCCAGAGCGGCTCTCACCTCCAGCTCAGGGTTTTTCTGGGTCCCCGTCACGCCGTCTCAGGCCTTTGGGGTTCCGGCTCTGGAGCTGCTGAGGCTGCCTGGCTTTGTCCGAGCGTCCGGGCCGAGGCCCAGGAGCAGCTGCCCGGGCCAGCTGCGGCCGGCTTCGATGTGACCATGGCAACCCAGCCCGCTCCCCTCACTGAGCCTCTCGGCCCCCGCAGAGAGGGAGGGGACAGCCAGGCCGGGAGCAAGGGGGAGAACTGAGAACTGTGAGACCCCAGACAAAGGGACCCAGACAAAGGGAAGCAAAGGAGCCAAAGCAGCCCTGAGAAGCTGTAGCTGGGGCATGGAGGGCGGCGGAAGGGGGCTGGGAGGACCAGAGTGGGAGAAGAGCGACCCGAGGTGGCCCTGGTGTCCTGGCCTCCTTCCGGGTCCCGACAAGGCCTCCCTCCTCCCGGACTTGGCTTTGCATCCTGGGGAGAAGCAGAACCTGTAGCCGGCCACCCCGACCTGTTCCACAGCGACGCCTAATCACACCGAGGGCGCCGCAGGAAGCACCCGGGGCCTCCAATTTCAAACGCGCACCGAGTTGTCACCTGTAACAAATGGCACTGTCAAACAGCGCGCTCCAATTCTCAACCCCAAAGCCCCACAAAGCTGACCAGGCTGGGGAGTGCTGGCATCGCTCTGGCACTGGCACCGGCAGAGGGGAAGCCAGGCCACCTGCCAGGGGAGAAGCCTCCCTGTCACCCCCACACGGCTCCCCTGGGCTGTGTTCTCTGCCAGCCACTTCCCGCGAGCGCCAGGAGTCAGGAGTCGGGGTGGTAACGAGGTGGCGTCTGTCAAGTAAGGCCTGGCTGATGAAGCAGCCACCGAACTGCCCTGACCGAAGCCTTCAGATGCATCACTTGCCTCTGAGCCCCTCCTAATCCACTCCCCCAACCGTTACTCAGAGCTCTGGGAGCTCCCTGAGGCAAGCACGCCTGCCCTCCAGGCACCACGGCCTCCTCCAGGGCCAGGTGTGTGTATGTATACAGGACTGCACATGCCAGGCTGGCCGATGTGCAGATGTAGCGGGAAGGGCTGGGGACCCAGGTGCTCCAGCACGGGCAGGAGGGGACCCAAGGAGTCAGAGGAGGGTGTCACACAGGAGCCAACCCTGACCGGCCTTAGATCAGGGTGAGACTTGCAGGCCGAGCTGGCATGGGTGTGTGGGAGCCAGCTGGGGCTGGAAGCAGGGTACACGGGGAGCAAGGGCAGAAAGGCCGACTTGGGCCTCTCCTTAGCAGCTTGGGCTGTTCCAAGAGCGAGGAGGAAGGGCCTGCGACAGGATCAGGTTTGTGTCTTCTCCAGCGTGGCTTCCCTCAGGGCAGTGGCTGCAGGGAAGGAGCCAAGCCTGTGGAGTCCTGCCCGTGTCCTCGGTGGTCCCGGGCCCCACCCCCAGGAGCGGAGGACGGGAGCTGTGCCCTGGGGAGGGGTCTCCCTGCCCACCGAGGTGGGTGCAGCAGGCTCTTAGGAAGAGAACCAGGCCCGGAGAAGTTGGGAGTTGCCTAGGTCCATGGCAAGTCGCCACCTCCCGCCCAGGACTTCTCAGACTCCTTCACTTGGGTTGTTGTTTTTTTTTTTTTTTTTGGTACCAGGGATCGAACTCGGGTCCTTGTGCTTGCAAGGCAAGCGACGGAACCACTGAGCTAAATCCCCGGCCCATCACTTGGGTTTTTGAAAGGGTTGAGTCCTGCTTCCCCGGGGAACCTCCCTTTGGTGGGCTTCACAGCTCCTGCAATGAGCAGGAAGGCCACCGGGCGGCGCCCGTGGCAAGGTGACTGGTGCCAGCCACTGGGAAAGGACTGAAAGCCGCTTGATAGGTCTGGCTGTGTAGCCCAGGCTGCCCACCCCACCAGGCCGCCCCGGCCTGGGCCACAGGTGCGCACTGCACCCAGCTGAGCAAGGCTGAATGCAGTGCAGGTGTCCACAGGGCTGCTTAGGGTGCGACATCACCACATTCAGTAGCAGGGATTTCACCATGAGCCCAGCGGGCCCAACTCTGCCCCCAGCACCCTGCAGACTCCTCTTCCTGCCTGCAGCCCCTCTGTGAGCAGCACTGTGGAGCTGGAGCTGGGGTTCAGACCCGAGTCTTCATGCATGCACTATACTGCTGACCCGCAGCCTTAGCCCAAACTTAGACTGCGGGGTCTTAGCCATCATCACTTCGAGTGCTACAGGTCTCTATAATTTAGTGTGCAATTTTTTTTCTTTTTTGGTACCGGGGATTGAACTTGGGACCTTGCGCTTGTGAGGCAGGTGCCAGAACCACTGAGCTAAATCCCCGGCCCTAAGGTCTATAATTTATAAATTCAGAGTCCTTGAAGATCTTGGGATGAGGTCTTTAACTCTTCCAACTTCTTTCATCTCCCAAGAATACTGTTACTCAACTCATTGTTGTTTGTGTACAGAGAAGTATCGAGATCCAGAATTGGCAAATGAAAGCCAGGCATGGTGGTGCATGCTTGTAATCCCAGCACTCAGGAGGCTGAAGCAGGAGGATCACTGGAATTCAAGGCCAGGCAGACTCATAGCAAGACCTTGTCCCCAAAAACAGTCACCAGGCATGATGACACATGCCTGTAATTCCAGCACTTGGGAGGCTGAGGCAGGAGGGTCACTACAAGCTTGAGGCCAGCCTGGGCTACATAATGAGCTCAAGGCCAGCCTGAATGGCACAGCGAGACCCTGTCTCAAAAAAAAGAAGAAAAAGGGCTGGGGATTTAGCTCAGTGGTTTCACCGCCTGCTGCACAAGCGCAAGAACCAGAGTTCGATCCCTGGTACCAAAAAAAAAAAGAAAAAGAAAAAAGGCAAATGACTTACTTAAAGCCACCTTGCAAGTCAAATCAGTGCTGATACAGTGTTTCTTGGGCCGGGTATTTAGCTCAGTGGTTCTGGCACCTGCCTCACAAGCTCAAGGTCCCAAGTTCAATCCCCGGTACCAAAAAAAAAAACAACCCGTGTTCCTCAAAGTAAAGTTTCTGAACTCCTGTGGAACCATGGATATCCCAGGAGAATTATTAAATCCCATGTTTTCATTTCCTTGGAAATTTTTGAAAAAGGCACTTGATCATAGGTAACTCGTCCTGGCCTGCTCATGCGTGCCTGCTTGAAGTT